CATGCATATCAGATGTTTTAAAAAGGTCAAAACTCAGGGTTAGCAGGTTCCATACCTACTGATACAAGATATTTTGTTGTTTGCAGAGGAAATATATATTACTTAAATAAATGGAGATTATAGAAATTGTAATGTCTTGCACATATCTTGCTTCTAAACCAAGCAGTATTGCCAAATCCTTTTGTGGAGATTGTGGACAAATTTGAAAAAGTACACTTAAATGCACATGGACACCAGCCCTCTCAAATTTAAAAGATTTTCATGAAGTAAGAGCTTTCCAGTTGATCAGCAATAAGTCTATCTTACAAACCATGCCTTTGTATTTTCAGGGAGCTACATCCATAGGTTTACATCTCGACTGTCGGACCAATCACACAGCTCGATCTAAACTGCAAGGCCAAAGCAAAGACAAAAGCTAAAGTGTTGATTCAGCTCGTAGGAATCGGGAGCGGATAAGCAGACTACACACCCACACACACACATGAACAGGCTCTGACCAGCTGTCCCCATCTCCACCACAGCACCAGCACCAAATCTATCATTGTATAAAAATATGCACAGAGCCTATCACAACTGCACCATGTCCAACAGTCGAGTCATAAACACAGACCACCACAGGCCGGAGGTGGTTAGAAAGAAAAACTTTAGTTCATGGGATAAAGTCATAATTTTCACTTGAGAAGTAGTAAAAAGTCTCAATTGGATATTTTGTAATTCTTTGCTCGCAATGTTACTTATCATACTAACTATGTTCAGGGGAATGTTGTTTCTGCTTAACATTTTAAAAACAAAAAGTAAACTCTTAAAAATCCATACTGACAAAAAATATATATGTGTGCTATTGTTTTATTCTATTGTACAAGTTTTTATTGCTGTATGCAAAGCTGTATTGAGCCTTTTCTTTAGTATCAAAATAAGAGTTTGTAATTTTAATATTGTTAAAATACTAATTCAAGGTATTTAGGTAAAGTCTCACACTGTTTTCTGTCTGTATTCCAATGTAAATGGCCAGAGTGCTGCTGCTGCTGCCGCCATTGCCCTGGGCACACCTCCCACACTGGGCTCAGGCACAGCCTCTCACCTACTGACTGCAGGTGTGCTCTCAGAGACCTTTGGCTGTGCTGCAGTGCCAGCAGTACAGAGCCAACAGCTGATAAGACAAAAGCTGAGGTTGCATAATAGAGTGACATAATAATGCACAGTCAATGAGAAGGCACAACTTAGCACGTAACACCAGATACATAGGGATGGGGTTAACCAGTTTCAAACTGAAGGTGGTTAAATAACCTATTATTTTACATGAGGGTATAAAAATGGACACGGAGTATTTTTCTTAGTAACAAAAAACGTTTTACATTTCAGTATCATGGCAATGCTACACTTCCTATAGGAAAATATTTGCAATTCAGAGTCAGTTGTTTGAAAGACGAGTGTGACTGGGGCCTTTGTGGGAACTACAACTTCCTCTCCACAACTGTTAACAGCAGTTTGACGTCCCACTACCTGAATCACAGAGCGTAAACAGTGCCACATGTCTGGGCACTGACACTGTGGGCGCATACTTGTAAAACAGGATACCCGACATTTCCTCACTCTACGTCACATACTCTGTTTGATTACACACAATACAATAGATAAGTATTTCGCCGTACTTACAAACGGAAGGTAACCATAGACAACCATAAAATCAACAGGCCGTAAAACACAGCTTGCCTTTAACGCACTTCAGTCGCCATAGTGACATCGAGACGGTAAAGTGCTGCCTGCCATGTTGCACACGTGACGCAATGGGTGCAAATGAAAGAGGGTTTTGCATTGAAACATAAGGTTAAATGAAGCGCATGCAGCAGAGGCATGGAGAAAAAAACAGCCCCTGACCCTGTGTTCACGGAGCGACATGAGGCCCACATTTTATTTGGACGGCCCAGGACAGAGAGTGGAGAGAGGGGGGACAGGGGCAGCCTCTCCCCCCCTCACTATTTTTGTTTCCTCTCTTTGTGCACATTCTACACTCGCAATGCAATGGATTTTCAACTTGGCCCTCATCAGTTGTGTGCCTGATGAAACAAACACTGACAGCCTCTTTACATTTGTAAAGGCCCCTGCAGCAGCTGGGCTTGTCCCACACACACAAACGTGCACGCACACACACAAATGTGCACGCACACACACACACACAGTCTTTAAGTCAGGCCCGGTCCCAGCTGGGGCCTACAGGAAGAGCAGAGTCGGCACAAAATGGCCCTGGCTGCACTGAGCTGCACTCTACACTCACATTTACAAACATGCACAGTGTGTGTCATGTTTCTGGAGACAGGACAACACACACACACACACATTAGCACCCGCTTCTTCAAACATTTTACCACCCTCTGACAGCCTGAAAGACAAACAATTAGGTAATAAATCTGGAAAACAGAGTTCTCATTACACACCATGTGATGTAAGCAGAGCCTGATCAAATGCAAATGAACAATGACAGAACTCAAAACATGCATTAAAGAGAACTCAGCTTTTCTGTTCAAATGACTTGACCTAAATCTACTGTAGTAGACAGATCATATGTTTTATTATTGCAGAGGGAGGTGGGGTAACAACTCGCACTCATGTTTCAGGGGAAATGGTTAAGCCAAGCATGTATAATTGTCTTACGCCAATTAAGGGAGGGGGCACAGAGGGGGAGGGGCCTGAAGAGAGGCCAGGAGTCCGACTCTAAAGGAGAAGAGGGGGGCTCGGCCAACAGGACGAGTGCCTCCGGGTGTTGTGGAGACACTTTTAAAGACACACTCGCTCCTGGCCCGACCTTCAACATGAGGTGCAGCTGCTGAGAGCACATGACAGATGTGGCACACATGTGAGCGCACACACACGAGCACACACGAGCACACACGCATACACACACACACTCCTACTACACTTCTGACAATACACAAGTCCAGATCCAGAGAGAGGCACTGTGGATCCCATGTGCAAAAGGGACTTTTGATACACACAGTACTGTTATGGCAGCTTCCTCAATATTAAAAAAAAAGGACCACTATAACGAGCTTGGCAAGACATTAAAATGTTCCAATGTGGTCATCTTGAAGTCATCAGATGTGTGAAATTAAAATAATGACCAATGAGCAGTAGCTGAAGGGCCACCTTCAGCCGTAACAATTATGACTTGTATTAAAGAAAACACAAAAGTGTCTGGAAGTGTTGGGTCTAAGGCATATTGCGTACAACACAAAAGTTTAACATTTGGTCTCTAAAAGAAGACCCATTTTCTTTAAAGACAAGTTTTAATAGTTTCTAAATTCACTTTGATTCAGTGAATTAATGTCCCAGTGAAATATCCCAGGGCAGTGTGAGTTCCTTCAGAGCAGTATTGATACAGCTTTTAATGCTTTTAACCTGTTGCTCCTGTAGAACACAGGCCGACAGTACTTTTCACCACCTCATAAACCGAAGTAAACAGGGTCTTCTTGAGGAAATAGGAAAGTATCATTTTGAGAGTCACTCCACCACATGTAGTTTGGGTAAGGTGGGAGGGAGAGGGGGCGTGCTGTGCAGATTTTGGCTCGAGAGCATGAGCAGACATGATACGCCTCGTGCAATTAAACCCAACAATGCGTCCATTAGGGCCAAGATGATAATTCACAACAACAATCTTCAAAGACACGAGTTTAAAGGCCCAGACACAGACAGGCAGAAGCCTAGCCGGCGTGAAGTCATCAGAAAAAAACGACAGCAGCGCGCAACTTAGTGGAGCGATACGCGGAGCAAGGCACAGTTTGGGAGATTAGGACTCTTTGTTTCATTTATGAAGCAGGGCAAATAGTCCATCTAGTGACTTAACCTATGCAAACCGTAACCTAGCTTTAAAACAGACCTGCTCCTTGGCCTTTAAATTCACCAGTCGAACTCGCAGAGGAGAAAATGGTTCCTTCTTGTCTTCATACATGAGCCCCTGCAATGCGACTAAACATACCCCCTTTAAAAAGGACTCTTCCGACAGTGCCTTCTCCAATATCTTTTTTATGAATCCTGGCGAGACCTGGGCGCTTATAAACTAATCTCCCTGGTACTGCAAAAATCTGAGCGATCCCCGAGCAGGCTGCACCAATATCTGTTCGCTTGCAGAGGTCACGCGAAGAGAGTTCAAACTGTTCTATGAATGAGGCAGACAGGTCTTTCACTGTGGCTTTAATATCAAGGGCACTGGCATAACAACAAACCAAAACGTGTCCCCGAGACGTTAAGGTTGGAAATTGTACGTGAATGTGCTGAATTGCATGACCCCCTTTCCTCTCTCCTCTCCAGCTCTGCCTCCTCGCTCGCTCACTTTGCATTGAGAAAATTAAAGAGCCAAAACACTCAGCGAAACATGTCGGTTTTTCCACGAGCCAAGAGTGCAAAGATACAACAAGCCGCGCGGATACGAAGTAAACTGTACAATTGTGCGACGTTTAGCTTTACACTGGCCTCACGTGCACATTTTCGAGGAGTTTAAAGCGCCCATAAAACGCGGCTCAGCATGGGACGAAATGGAAGCCGAAATAGCTGAGCCATGGCTGCCAGGCTCGTCTCACAGCTCTCAATAGGGGAGGAAAGGAGAGCGAACAAAAGCCGTATGCAAGTATACTTCTCAAGGATTACGTTTTAAATGTTTCTCTGGCATTTTGTCTTTCCAAAACACACCATGCTTTTCGGTCACGCGTAAAAACGACCCGAAATGTGGTAGCACCCGATGTTCCAATAGAATAAACATGTCGTTGTTGGAACACTGCAACAGACACTGAATAAACATTGCTGTCTCTTTAAATACAAGAATATAATCGTTAGCACATGGCCGTAACTTAAACCACTGGCCTTAAACGAAAAGGTGACCCCAAAAAGCGCACAGAACACCTCATGGTAACCTTCACAGCTCGCGATCAAAGTTTATGCAATTTCATCAAAACGACCAAAGCAAACTTGAACATCAGCTCCGATAGAAAAGATAAGAGTGTACTTACATATTTCTTTTGGATAATATTCCTCTTAGGTCTTTCTTTACTCATTATGGAATCCCCAAAATGTTTGGCTCTAGAGAGAATGGCCACATGAATTTCTTTCTTTGACTCTCGCCTCTCCCGGAGCACCACCAAATGACGATTTAAATCCCCGGCTTGATAGGAAACGCTTGCAGCTTTTCAACAATCCTCCTTCGATGTTTTCCGTGGACGAATCGCTATAAATCCCACAAAAAGATCAAGACTCGACGACAAATGCAGACGGTCTGAAGCCAAACTCACTTGGGGATAACATAGTCAAAACAAATGCACAACAATAAGTTCCATTCGCCAGAACAGCTCGGCTTCCACTCGTCTTTGCGCACTCGCTCCCGGCTCTTTTAAAATACATGAATACGCGACGTGATCCTGACAAGTCACATCTTGTTTCTGGGTCACACTGGGACGGTAAACCAATAAATAAAATGAAAATAAAAGATTAGTTGTCGCGTCTTTTGCTGGAGCCTGCGGTCGACGAGAGAGCTCTCCAGCGGCACTGCTCTACTGACTGACTGACTGAGGCTGAGGAAGAAAGAAGCCGCTCCACCAATGAGAGCGCACGCAGCCAGCGGCAACTTTAAACCCACGCACTCCGCTACCAAAAGCGCAAGATATTAGTGAGTTTAGTAAACACGGTGCGTAAAACTGTTTATAATTATAAATATAGACTAGAGGAGGAATATTAATGCGTTTTATCAATATTACGCTACATCGTGCGTGTTTAATTCAAGTTTCTAATGAACCCACGTTTTCTTTTTAATAAAATTTAAGTAAAAAAAAAAAAAAAGTGAATCATATCAAATATGCACACCTATATTAAAAGTTTTTCTTGAAAACCATGAGTCACAACTTGCACAGCTGACGCCTTCTTTAATTTCCATTTTATTTTCCATCAATAGTCATCTAATTGGCCTTTGTTCGGTCCAAGTCACATTCCAGCCCAGATAAAAGAGAAGAGAAAAAACAAAACAAAAGGGCTTCCCCAAAGTTTGATGTAAATGAGATCCCCATCCCCCACACGCCACGCTCATTCACACAAGACCTGCGAAGAAGAAGTTAAACATTACTCCAAAGAGCAAATATCAAATGTTTATCACACAGTGATAATAAAATTTAAAATAAAAGTTAGATTTTATTTCTTATATAAAGCATAATCAGTAAATCAAGCTTATGAGCCAACAGTTTTAATAGTGTATTATGTTTAACTCACTTTGTACTACTCTATTCAAAGCATTTTATAATACGTAACTTGTTAAACTGTATAAATAAAGCATATTTTTAGCAGGTATTTGTTTTGAGTTTTTGATTGCATATTTTTGGTCTCCTGCAGCTCTTGAACATTACCTTGCAAGACAGGAATTTTCCATTGTGGGACATATAAAAGTTCTCTTATCTTAGCCAATAACAGAATTAAAGTAAGAAGAAATTTGCAGTTATTTTCAGGACGCTCAAAGATAAGACACAAGAAACAAGATACAAGAAAGATAAAAAGAGTGAATCATATAGAGAAAAAGAACTAGAACATTATAGCCAATAGATCTGACTAGATTTGAGTGCCTTAAAGGTGGAAAAGCATTATATAAACATTTTACCATTGACCATAGATTTGAACTGATAACATTTAGCTGGTATTTTGATATTTATTACTCATGGTTGTGAATTATTTGATTTGTCATCCCACTCAACAGAAGTGGGCTCAGTGAGACATCATTATGACACCCTGAGTGGGACAGTGGCTCCACATGACCTGAGCACCTGTTTCAGAGAGCTGCAGTCCGCTCCATATTTGAGCAGGTTTTACACACAAGTATAGACTGTTTTATTGGAATGAGGTCTGGCAATCGTCCATTCATTTTACAGAGGAATTTGTCTTGATATTGTCTGTGCTTTGTCACCCAATACGCACAGACTTTATGTGTACTTTCTGCTTAGCATATTTTCTGCAACATCCCTTTCTTGCAACAATATTAGGTATCCTCTGCTTTTACATGCAAAAAAATACATTCTTATTTTCATTTGACCCACACATGCACAAGCAGACTCCAGTCAAATGAAGCTCACGAGGCCAGCAGTTATAGGAGAGAATTTGGAGCCGAGATTAGGAATTTATTTATGGACAAAATCACAAAAAAAACACCAGGATCATGTAGAGCAGGTTGATATAAACATTTTACGACCAAAATGACGAGTCTCACAGCAGCAATTACCAGAGGTGGGGACTTGCGAGTCGTGACTTGAACTCGAGTCAGACTTGAGTCACTATTTTTAGGACTTGAGACTTGACTTGATAAGATGGACTAAGACTTGGGACTTGACTTGGACTTGAAAGTCAACGACTGGGGACTTGACTCAAACTTGAGGCCTGTGACTTGAGAAGACCTGAGAAGAACTGAGAAGACTTGAGAAGATCTGAAAAGACCTGAAAAGACCTGGGAAGACCTGAGAAGACTTGAGAAGACCTGAGAAGACCTGAGGAAGACTTGAGAAGTCCTGAGAAGACCTGAGAAGACCTGAGAAGACTTGAGAAGTCCTGAGAAGACCTGAGAAGACCTGAGAAGACCTGAGAAGACTGAGAAGACTTGAGAAGACCTGAGAAGATCTTAGAAGACCTGAAAAGACTTGAGAAGACCTGAGAAGACTTGAAAAGACTTGAGAAGACTTGAGAAGATCTGAGAAGACCTGAGAAGACCTGGGAAGACCTGAGAAGACTTGAGAAAACCTGAGAAGACCTGAGAAGACCTGAGAAGACCTGAGAAGACCTGAGAAGACTTGAGAAGACCTGAGAAGACTTGAAAAGACTTGAGAAGACTTGAGAAGCCCTTTTAAATCTGACTTCTTTCTATTCTGACTGTAATGAATCATACTAAGATCTTGTCATAACATTTAAAAAGGAAAAATGTGCATTTCTACAAATCTTATATACTCTATAAATACTAATAGAAACATATACTATGACTTCATAAGTACAGTTTATCTTAAAACTCATAAATTGCAAAAATCTAAGTTATACTTTGGTTTAAAGACTTGAAAGCTCAAAGTAGACGACTTGGACTTGTCTTGGACTTAAGGGCCAGTGACTCGAGACTTGATTTGGACTTGCCTGTATTTGACTTGAGACTTGAGGTCAAAGACTTGAGACTTACTTGAGACTTGCAAAATGACGACTTGGTCCCACCTCTGGTAATTACAGAGAGAGGGGTGACAATTTGTGAATGTGAAGTCAATTGAAACAGAGTTGATGGAGCAAGAAGTGCCCCCATTAACACTTCCTGTTTAGACTGTGGGTTAACTATGTCCATTTATACATACAGTTTATGCTCTCAACCAAATGCATCTTATTTCTCCCATGAGATTGGTTTATATATTCATTCATTTGTTAAAAAAAAAAAAAAAAAAGCTTGCGAGTAGTTAGTCATCATACGTACAGTACAGGAGCAGTTTGCCTTTCTCCAGCTAACTCCACGATTTACATCCAGCAATTTACAGCCCCAATCTGCCGGCATGATTAAGAAATATTAAAAACGGATTTCACCATCTCCCCTCGGCGTTGGATTAGCATCAATCTCGTGCATCTGCGCTATTATGCTTACTCCATTATCATCTGTGTAACGAGGAAGCGCTATCGATCCCACTGCTGTTTGATGTAGATTTAGCATAGCGTGGCAAGCGATCAAAGCACAGAAGTTAGCCATGAATGTTCCAACAAAGACACTAAATCAATATATGACCGCTCAATAATTCTAAGCAAGTGGTAGATGACATGATATTTATGTAGCCCCACCACCTCCTTTCTCTCATCCATGTAGTTTATAATATATGAGAAACTTAGAAGGATTAGGAAACGCACAGCTAAGGCCAAACGGTTAGTTATTGTAATGGTATTCATATTTGCCACATCTATTTTCTAAACGCGTGCATTGTAAATCACTGACAGTGCTTTAATGTATCGGCCCGTGTATTATTGGTTTAGTTCGGTAATCAATGGCGGCGTGGCGTTTGGCTGCTGCAGAGAGGGCTATTCTGAGCTGATCCAGTTAGAGACATGCCTTAGCCCCATGGCCCCTGTCTCTGAGGGGGGTCACTGGGGTCCCCTTCCCCGCTGGTGCTGACATTTAGGCCCACATGAATCAATGAGACAAGCTGCACCACCGCCACAGCTCCTCACATGGTTTACATTTAGAGCAGGGCAGAGAAATTTAGACTGACTTTGCACTTTGAGAGTGTACCAACAAAAGCATTTCAAAGAATGTACTTTTGTATAGAGTGATTGGGGACAGAAATCGATTCATCCCGGACTTCTCTTACGTGTGCTTGTGCCAATTTCAGCATTTATAGGCCCTGGGGAAAACACAAGATAAGCAAATAATCCTACTTCTTAATAACAACAAGTAATTTGGCTTCTTGTAAATCAATAAAGATGGTCTAGTGCTTTATAACAATTGAAACTTTTTTTTTTTTTTTGAGACAGTGGCTGCAATACTTACTACGGAGTCCTGCAGGAGACATTTTTAACATCAAGATCCTCAATAATACATATGAGTTATGTACCACTTCAAACTACAAATAGCACAGTAAATGGCATGATGTCAGCTGCATGACATTCAACACAGTACAAGTCGTGGCCCCAATAAACTCACTGAGAATCTGTGATTTTCAAAATGATTTTTTTTCAAAGACATTGTTAAAGCTGAACTTGACTAGAAAATTTAACATGTACTAAAATAAACAAATTGTATGGCAACTCAAAAACACAAAACAAGGGCTAATGGCAATTAAAGGTGCTCTGTGTAACTTTTTTGATGAAGGATCCACCATCCACCATGGCATTAAATGTATCCATTTTACATTTACTCAGTAAATTATTATTGACCTAAAAACTTGCATTCTTCAGCTACGTTTATATGATGATGGTCTGAACAGAAGACGCAAAAGTGGCATCTCTCCTTCACTTTTTATTCCACGCTTAGACGAGCCTTTTTAGGAGGAAATCTTCGTGTATATGGTGACGCAAAAGTGTGTGGAATTCGACTGAGTATGCATGCCATGTGGCTAGGTGGGGACGCCAGGTGGTGATGTATGTGACGTAAATGCATAAGCAACATGAGCCGATCTGACCAGAGTTTTGCATCTTGGGCAGTGCAGACGGAAACGCTACGGCAGAGTGTATTCAACTTTTCCGCTCTGGAGGGTGGTTTCAGATTTTTGCGTTTTTAAGCCCCAAAACACCGGTACCATCTAAAGGAAAGGCACTTTTGTTGTTTTTACCCTAAAGCGTTCTCATGTAAACAGGCCCTTACTGTGAATGGGTACACTTCTACACAGATCTGACATGTAATTTGGCCCGATGGCATAATCTCTGTAGAGATAAATAAGTGCAATGCCATATTCCAGGCAACATCTCCGTAAAGAGAAGCAATTGAAAAACCATCCAGGGGAAAAGTGCAACTTTAAACGATGGAAAACAAAAAATATATATAACGTGAGAAAGCAGAAATCTCCAATACAATCA